GGTATCTGGTAGGAAAAACTTCCTTTATTTTATCATCATCCGGTTTAGTCATCCAGCAAGAAAGAAACGAATAGGAAACCCCAGCAATAAGAAATGAACAGAAGACTGGAACTGAAGCCCTGAAGCGCTTGCTTTTGCCCGCTGACCAGATAACTACAGCTATCTGCACTGTCTGCAGCATGGGGTTATTACTTTTACCTAAAGGCGTCTCTTTTTGGTAATGACAAACGTGTTTTTTTTAAAAGCCTGGTTTTTCTCAATACACCTTTAAGGGTTTTTAAATTGCTTCATGTCTGGTCAAGCTGAGATTTTTTAAGAACTTCCTTTTTAATTTGTAATAAAAATTTACAAGTTGCTTCTTTCAAAAAGTCAACAAACTACAAACGCCATTGTTAATAAATGTCTTAAATAATAAAGAAATCATTAAAAATCAGAGCTATACAGCGTGAGGCACAAACTGGCAGACAGTGACAAGGAACCCAAGGGAGTCCAAGAAGTGGTGCTCACGAGACCAGACCCCACCCACGAGTGGAGAGGACAGACTCCCAGTGACATGGGGCATGGGGGACCCAACTCCAATTCAGAAAGGAAAGCTGGGTCCAGGGAGGACCATACAGGAAACAAAAAGAGTAGATTAAAGCTCTCACGGAAAAGCAAAACGATGGTGCTCTTAAAAGGAAATGGCAGGGACCATCTGGGACACGAGAGCAAGGGGGCATCTCTAAGACAGAAAGCACAACCCCTGAAGGGCCAGGCTGGCGCACTGAGATGCAGGGAAGCTAAGGACTTCTGCCCATCGATTGATAACCTGTGCGTTATCTTCCCTAATCGCAAACCAAGTAACTGCAACTCACAGCGACCAAAGATGAAGGCCCAGAAACACACAGGACACCTGCGATGGCAACACAGTGGTGGCACTGACCACGCACAGGGACTGAGCCCAGGGCCCTCACACGTGTGGAGCCACACTATTTATAATTCTGAGACAGAGTCGCCAAGCTGCCCGGGCTTGACTGGCCTTTCAATCCTCCCGTCTCAGCCTCCCAGAGTGCTGGCATTACAGGCAGGCACCACAGCCCGCTCCCTCCTTTGTGAAAAGAGGGAGTGTGGGAGTATTTTCAGAGATACATACACATTTCGTATACTCTTCTGCATATAAGGCTTAGTTTACCAATTATGCTCAGAATTACCAGCAGTGCTGAAAACTGTTGGACATAAAAGGCTTAGAAAATATTTTTGGCAAGCACAATTCAAGCCCCAGTACTGGAAAAAAAAAAAAAAAAAAAAAAAAAAATTACCTGAACTGGCTCCTGAATGATTTAGCAAATTTATTACTTCAAATCTACTATAATTCAATTTTTTAAAAGATAGAAATCCTTTTTTGGGAAAATCAGTCACACCTTACTGCTTTGTCAGGACCATGATAGTGTACATTCTGCAAAAATACACCAATAGCTGCTTTTCAAATATAGTTTTTCACTGTGCAGACCCCACCCCCGGGGTGTGCTGAGACTGCAATTGAGACTGGGTGTCGGGCGCATGCCTGCAATCTCAGTGCTTGGGAGGCTGAAACCCGGAGAATCGGTACAAGTCCAATCTCTGTAGTGAGACCCTGTAGACCCTGTACTAAAAAATATTTTGTATAGATATAGATATAGATATATAGATATATATAGTTTTTTTTAATTCCAGTTTAAAATTCCATTTGTGAAAAATACAGATCTGCCCTTCATACAAGGCAATAAATACCACCCCCATACCAAAAGTGAAGAGAGCAAAAAGCAAAGCCTGTCACTAGCTCACAGCCATGAAGGACTGTAAGTAACCACACTACACATGTAGGCAGACATCTCTGAAGAGCACAGGGAACAAGTGGGTGAAAGATACACCTCAGGGGTTGTGACGGACATTCCCTAGGCAAAAAGTGAAGTCCTAAAAATTATAGGAAGAATTTTGAGGATGCCTTTGCACCATGGAGGGTCTAGGGAGGCCCCTTCCTGCTCTCACCCATGCTTGCTCTCCCCCGTTTATGCGGTGGGCGGCTTGCACTTCCTGCTCTCTTCCCTTGCCCCAGAGTGAGACCACCGTACACGCAGGAGCGCACCCTCCGTGTCCATGAGCCCTGGTGCCGCTCGGGAGCCTCATGCACCTGTGGCGGCTAGAGAGACCCACCAATGCGGGACTGACCTGGGACACTGCGTCCCGCCCCAGAAGCACAGGCCCACCTGACGCGCAGGCAGGAGGTCACACCGGTGGACGCCATCACCTTCTGAGGAGCCTCTAGTCTGCCCTGCCTTGGGTCACTCGACCTCAGACCATACAGAGCAAACACAGGAGCTGCTGTGCAGAGGAGGCTGGCATGAGCCAGCGGGGCATTCCGTGACCAACGCTGCTCACCACTGAGTTCGGAGCCCCTGGCCAAAGCGCCCCTTCTCTGAACTCAAAAGGGCGCCTGACAGGGTAATGAGGCGCTAGGGCAGAGGCACTCTGACAGCACGTGCGGTGGCCGATGCACCCGCACTACACAGGCCGCAAGCGTCTGCTGCCATCTCCTCCAGGGGGTACCAAGCAAGAGAATGGGCAGTGGCTGGCGTCCAGGGCGGCAGCTGCTCCGCTGACGGCCAGTGCCCACCGGGCAGCATCCCAGGCCGCCCCTCGCTGTCCCGAGGAGCACTCACCCCTTCCCGCAGGCACCTCAGCAGCACGGTGTAGGTGGCTGAGGGGACAGCCCAGCTCGGGCGGGGCGGCTTGCTCTTCTCATCCTAAAAGGAAGCAGAAGGAAGGGCGTGAGCCACTGAGGAACAGCAACAACCTGAACTTCTCAGTGCCCTGCTTGTTAAATCGCCTCGCGCTTTCCACCAATGGTGGCAGTCAAGTGTCCGACTACAGCACACACACACACACACACACGCGCGCGCACAGGGTGATGCTTCTCTTCTGTGCTGCTCCCAGAACCCTGTTCGGAAGCCGATGGGAAGACAGGAGAGTGACAGTGAGTGCTGACCTGAAGAACCCACTCTGCATAACCCTGCACAGCTCGGCTTTCGCAGGAGCAGTCTAGAGCTCGGAGCACTCAGTAGGCCTCACACTTGGGACTAGGTGCCGAGGCCAAAGACAGGCTGCAGGGGGGTAAGAACCCCCGCCCCCACCCTACCCTCGCTAAGAGAACTGCGCAAATGTGATCGGCAGGCCCGCTGGTATTACAACAGCAGCAGTGATTCTCACAGAAAATTAAGCAACTTGGTGTAAAACAGGAAGAGCAATCGAGTCTTACTTAGTACAAACACAGATCACCCACATGACAGACCTGGTGCACTGTCCATCACAGGTAGCCTACGTCTGTGATGAGAATTTGAACCTCCTAAAACCATAACGTGTAAAATCCCACTTAGGGTCACTAGGAGGCCAGCGTGGTCGTAACTAGAAGCTCTCCAGCTCAAAACTAATTCAGAACCCAAATTCACCCTAAACACAAGTGCCAATCTCCCACTCAAACCCCTGTGTTCCGCCTGGCCCTTGGCCCCTCGTCCCCTCCTGGCCACTTAGATCCAGGGCCGGAAACCAGCCCTGGCTTGCCTTAGATGAGCTGGCCTTGCTCGAGGGACCCCAGTCAGGAGGAAGCGCACGGGCAGCTGGGCCCCCAGGGAGGGGAGGGGACACTGCAAGGGCCCACATGGCCGCCAGTCTCCTGCAGGGCGGTTCCCACTGCACCTCTGCTGGTGCAATCCTATTGGCCCTCCATGCCAAGCTCCCAGGCTCAGGCCCTGCCTGGTGCTGCCTTCCTGAGGCCCAGAGGTACCTCTGTCTCAGTGGGTTCCACAGAGCAGGTTCCATCCCCGCCCTGCCTGGCCACACCTTATCCAATGGGATTCATGTCCAACTCTCCTCCTGGCCAGTCTGCTCAGGAGCGAAGCACCGAGCAGCCGTGGGTCACCAGTGGTGCGCCCGGCTCCACTCAGCACAGCTCAGCGCTCCTCCTCAGCCCGAAGCATGTTCAGCCCAGCTGACTTTCCTTCCTTTGCGCTTCACCTATGACACAACCGCTCCACAGAAACCCTCGCCTCACCACAGGCTATTTTCGTAAGTCCAGAGACTCCACATCCTTTTCTGGATGCTTCCCACAGGACGTGGTCAAAAGTCAGGGCCACTGAGCCACCACCCTATTAGAATAGCCCCACTGTGTCCAGGTCAAGTGCCACCAACTAATGGGCTCTGTGGCTCTACCACAGAAACAAGCAGGAATATGGGCCTTGGGACCCTGTTTACATGGAATTACAGAAAATGCTAGCAAGCTTAGGTGGCAGGAAGCAAATGGTCATTGCCAAGAGTGCCTGCGAGCAAACAAGCTCGTTATCCTGACTGTGGTGATGGATTCACACACATCAAAATCTGTCAGACTATAACCTTCTCTTAAAAACGCGCAGCTGCCTAAACATAGTGCTGCGCACCTGTAACCCCGGCACTCCCAAGGTAGCAAGTTAAATCCAGTCCAGGTAACTGAGTGACTTACCGAGATCCTGTCTTAAAATTTAAACATTTTCTTTGAAAGAGCTTTGACTATAGCCTAGGGCTTTTGCACACAGTACTGCAAAACATAAGTAATTTTATAAAGGCCAAAGGTGGTAGCTCAATGCAAAGGCCCTGGGTTCAATCCCCAGAACAACAAAAACGTGATTACATACTAACTATACGATTAACTGAGAGGAGGGCAAATACAGCAAGTGGACTCCACGCCCAGCACGGATGCGACGGCAGGCTGAGGACCTGACGCCCTGCTAGGCGAGGCATCTGGCTCGGTCCTGATGTGCTTACAGTACACCAAGGATCTGACAGGCACAGCAAGAATTAAGTCCAAAAGCAGACAACTGGAAGCAGAGATGAGCGGTACCAATCCAATTTTACTCTAAAGCCGCAGCACTTGGTAAACTGGAGTCTGATGCCAAGGCCTTGAGGACTGTCCAGGGAAAAGGCCAGGCAGACGCCCACAGCAGCCCAGAGCCCCCAAGGGGGCACTGCTCCCCACTGCGGCCCCTGAGAACACCATGGCAGGCGGTAGGCAGGCACTGAGCTCTGCAGTGGAGGGGTGGCGGTGGCCAGGACAGCTCCCAGCACACAGCCCATCCACGTGCACCTCCCACGGAAAACAGCCAGTGTCTACCTGTCCTATAAAACGGGACAAAACATACATCTTCATTTCTTTTAGCTCATACATTCAAAGTTTTGTTTTGTTTATTTTTCAGTACCATGGATCAAACTCAGGTCCTTGAGCTCACCAGGCAGGCACCTTATGCTGCTGAGCTATCTGCCCAGCCCCATACAAAGTTAACGCTGTAAATACCAGAAAGTAATTATGTAAAGTCCAACAATTTTAAGATCATAAATGAGGTTAAAAATTATTAAAATGTCTTTCA